CAGGGCACGGTGGGGGTTCAGCAAAGGGCCACCGCAGAGGTGTGCGGTGTGGGGCGCGAGGCCGGGCAGGACCCCCCGAGAGGGAGGGGTGGCCACAGAGCCGGGCCCGTGGGCTGGGGGGGAGCGGGAGTGTGGTGCCCCCTCACTCCCAGCCAGGGGAGGCTTGGGCCCCACTGGTACCCACAAAAGGAGGGGAAGACAGGCAGGGAACCTGGATGAAACCCCTCTGCCCGGCAGGGCTGGCTGCTGCGCCCTCGCGGCACCCCCTCCGCCTCCGAGGGGGAGGGGAAGCGGGCCCAGAGGGCGCCCTGCGGTGCGGAGCGTGGTCTCCGCGGCCTATCTGGTGCAGAGGTCCCGCTCAGCCCTCCGCCCCACCCCGGGCCACAGGGAAGCTCTGTGGTCTGAACCTGTCCCACCCAGCCCTCACACCTGTCTCACTTCCTTTCCCATCAGCCCCTAGCAGTGGGGCCCTGTGGTTTCTCGGCTGACTTCCTCTCTGGGAGGGGAAGGGCAGGCGGCTGGGGGAGGGGGCGGGGGAGCTGTAGGGCTCCGGCCCTGCTTGAAGGCTGCTCTGGCTCCCTGTGGCCTGTGGCATCAAAGCCGCCGGAGGCTGGTGGGATCTGGCCCCTCCAGGGACGGGGTGCCCCCGCCCCCATACTCCAGTCACATCCCTTGCCTGTATCCCGAACTCCTTCAGCGCCAAGATTCTGCTTATGGGGTTGCCCCTGCCCTGGGCGCCAGCACCCCCTTCCCTGCCCAGGGGGCTCCACCCTCTAGGAAGGCCCCCTTCGCTGGTCACCCCTGCCCATTTCCAAGGCACCGGCCTAGCCCCTCCCCCAGGGCTGTCTTGTTTACGCACTGGGCGCAACCACTGAAGTTCCAGGCAACGTGGGTGTCTGCTGGACCCTGGTCAGCGTGTCACCTGACGCCAGCAGCCCGCAGCACTCACGTGGTGGCCCCGCGGCTTGTCCCTGGCACGGCTGGTCACTGGAGGCAGCCCTCAACCCAGAGGCACCAGCGAGCCTTGCCAACACTCCTAGGACTTAGAACCCACTGCTGGGGGGCAGGGGCCCTCTCTGGGCCTGTTTCTGACTTCGTGGGCAGCTCGGTAGCTGCAGGGCTAGTGCAGAGGTCTGGCTCGAACCCTGACTGCTGCGTGCTCGGCGCCCAGGGTCGCGCCTGCCAGGGAGTGGCCCGCGCTGCGTCGAGCAGTCCGTGACCCTCCAAGTGCGGGAACGGGAGCTGGTGCAGACGCTGACACGGCTTCAGCAGGGCCCGAGGGCCTGCGACCTACGAGGGCCTCCGGGCGGGTCAGGCTGGGTGGCAGAGACTCTGCAAAAGGCCGCGCCACCACCCCGGTGTCCCCGGCCCCTCTCCTGCCAGCACCACGGATGCCTGCCCTGCCTGCCAGCGGGCTCGCCCCCGGGGCCTCCCCCCAGTTGTTCCTCACGACCACCTCGCCTCCGCCAGGTGCCTGCCAGGTGCCGCGGTCACCACGAGCCGGGTGGGTCACCACGTGGCTGCGCAGGCCCACCACGCGCGCCTGGAGCTGACCCTACCCCTGGACCGCGGCCCCCCGGGCCTGCACCCCGGCCCCGCCCGGGGACAACGGGAGCTGCGGGTCAGCAAGGCGCCTTCGCCCTTCGGAGACCTCGGCGCTGACCGGCCCCGCGGCACGCTGGGAGGTGTAGTTCAGGCTTCGCCCTGGGGCCCTGGGGGATGGGACGAGTGGGGGGCGGGTTCTACTTCCCAAGACGGAACCACTGGGCAAACGTGATGGAGCCGCGCGCTGAGGCCCCTGCCCAACCCAGGCCTCTGGCGCTTTTCAGATGTTGGCACAGGGAGGCGCCCACTAGTCCAGGAGGCCAGTGCCGTGTCCTTCACTGCGGGGGCTGGGAGGGGAGCAGAAGTGGTGGCCTGGGGCTCCTTCTGGGCAGCTCCCACCAGCCCCATACCCCGCCCTGGAAAGTGGCTTCCCACCCTTACAGCTTCCAGTGTGGACCCGCCGCCCTGGGGGTGTGAGCGGCCAGGTACTGTCCCAGGATGACGGCCACATCCCGATGTCTGTCCTCGGAGGCTTGATGGGGCCAGAGTTAAGGGGTGCGTAGAGCGTCACCTCCCCACCCCATCTCTGACCCCCCAGCCCTTGGGGAGCCATTCAGCCAGTCTTAGCTACTGACTCGCCCTCTGGGATTCCTCATGAGGGGTGGGTGCGGACCCCAAGGCCTGGCTCATGGCCACTCCCTGGCCCCCGCCGTCCTGGCCATTGGCCACAGCTGGGAGCCGGGCACTGGCTCCGCTCCCCTGGAAGCAGTGGGCACCAAGAGGTACCCCCAGCCCTGGCCAGGGCCCCGCTCATCCCGGCTGGGCCTTCGTCAGCTCTGCTTGCTGCGGCCCTCAGACAGGAGGGCCACAGGAGTGGAGAGGAGCTGCTGCACCTGGAGGCACAGCAGGGCGGCTCCCCAGAAGCAGGGAGTGGGCTGTGAGGGCAGCCAGAGCTCC